TTCTCATCTTTCACTGATGGGTTTTCTCTTCCCAAATCCCTATAACTTCTTAACCATAAAAAAGTAAAATGCTATTAGTATATTTTTATATGCAAATTTTAAAATATAGCATACTTTTATGTTAGTACATTAGTATATACAGATTTTGAAGCACTACCAATTTCCAATTTTGAATTAGTATATACCAATTTTGAAGTACTAATTTCAAAAGATAGTATAGATAAAATACATACAAATACTTCCACTTAAAGCAAACAACACTACATTAAAATCCTGATCAAAATATAGGAACCTCAAAGAACAGGAAGCCTTTCTGACAACTTACATAGGAAATATAGTAACTGAAAAAGGAAAGAATAACTTTGGTAAAGCATTCAGCAGGATTTAATGCCAACACTGCCCATAACTGAAGACAGACTTTAAAGAGCTAATAATCCACATGATATGAAATATTACTAAACACTTTCACAAAAGCTCTATTCCTGGAACACACAACAAAATAAAGAAGCCAATTGTAATCTACATTTTAAATTAAATACACTGACACAAAGAAAAGAAGAATACCCCTAGTGTTAATAGTTTGGGGACTCACTAGGACCAAGGTTTGACCTTTTGAGAACAGTTTCTTGAATATGGCAGGTTCAAAAAGCCATTCCAGCAACCAACCTCTGAATCTTCTGAAATGACCAATTTTCTAAGTATTTACTACATATTAGAAAGGAAGAGAGCAAAGTGATGGCATAACAACTTTTATTAAATTCAAAATTCATCCATAAAGGAAAAAAACAAGTACATACACTCTCACACTATTCAAAACATGAAATGGTAACTTTCTGGAAAAGAATCTGCAACCACATATCAAAAGTACTACCCTTTGACAAAGTAATTCCAGAACTCTGTCTTAAGAAAATCATTAGAAAAACTGTAGTAATTGACCGTGACATTATAGTAATGGAAAAATTGGAAATAGTTTACAAGTCAACAATAGGGGAATGGTTAAAAAGAATTATGCTATATACATATGCTGGACACTGAAATGTGAAAAAAAAGACCAAATATTTTAATAACTATGAAAAATCCTTAATTATTAAATAAAGTGGAAAAAGAAGCAGGTAAATTCAACATGACCATATAATTAGAGCAAAAATATGTATAAATATTCAGAAAAAAACTAGAAGGAAATATACCAAAATATTCATAGTTTTATGCGTGGGTTGTGTGGAGTTCTGGGACTAATGTATGATTTGCTTCTTTTCCTCTACACAGATTTACTGTACTATATAGGTAACTTTTGCATAAAAAGTTAAAAATGACAGAGAAAGATGATAGAAAAATAATATTGCATGCAACCCCCAAAACCACAACTCTTATTTGCTAAGTCACACAATGTAGAATTTAGACATTTCTGAAACATGAAGTGAAATAAACGTCATAGAAATATTTAAACTATATTCCAGAAAAGTATGCTATAAAAACAAAAGGTGGTATCATTACCATGAAAGTTTAACTGAGGAACAGTTCAACTGAATATGTGTATAGTGACTCAACTGCCTCAGTTAAAAAATAACAGCACACACATTTTTTAAAGTTCTATGCTCTGGAAAAGAAGAGAGCTGATGTCTAGTAATAGTCTACCCAAGAGTCTACTCATCCTAGAGAATCATCAATTAGATGGAAGATTCTGGTTCTGTGACTGTCACAAAGGGAAATTTTTACAGCTATAATTAAAATAGAGGAAAACCATTTAGGATCTTTCTAAATAAAATCACATCTATTTACCTTGAAACTTTCCTATCTACCTGTTCAAGTTTTCAGTCCTTGTTCCCTTTGGTTTTACAGGAAATCCTCCAGGGCTACTTTCTTGGTTCCTAAAACTACTAAGTGTGCACCAAAACCATTCCTAGTACAAAAGTATCTTCAAATCTGTTCCTTGTGCAATTAAACTCATCTCAATCCCTCAGAGAATGAATGCAGGATTATTAACCTAAGAAGCTCTGTTTCCTAATTCCCGCCCCACCCCCATCATAAAGCTTTAATACCATGGACATAAAACTACTTCCAATGATTCATGAAGAAACAACTGTTGGAATGAGCTGACATCTTCATACATACTTGTAAAAGTGATCTAATTTGACCTGAGAACAGTACTAACACTAACATATTAGCTATACAAAGCATGTGCATTTTTTAGGCTTCACTTTATGAATTTCCCAAGATGACAATAAGATTTTTTAAAAATCCGTACCTGACTAAGAAGCTGTCCGTGAAAAATATTATTCACAACATTCAGAACCTGCTTGATAAGTTTCCTTTGAGAAGTAGGGATAAGAGCTGGTAACTTGGTACCAGTCGTCTCTAGTTCATGTTGTATTTTATCCAAAAGCTCACAAAGAAATTCCTGAGCATCTTGTTGGCCATAACCACGAAAAGCAGGAATTAGTCTCCATACTGAGTGTAGCATAGCAAATGGTGAGACCAAGGCCCACTTTCCAGACCACATGACTTGGAACAAAGTATGCAATTCATGACAAAGAGAAATGTATTGTGAACTTGGCTCCCTTGGCTGAATAAGTTCCATCTTTTTACTCTTTGGTGCTCCGCCACTTAGTCCTGATGATAAACTTGGATGTCTGAAGTGCACAGAATATGGCTCTTTTTCTTGACATTCATTCATTTGATATACTGTATCTGTGACTGGAGGATGCTTATAAGATGATCTTGTTTTATCACTAGCTGTCACAGCCAGCCATTGGTTCAGATCAAGTTTTAAAAAACATTGTCGAAAAACAAGTAAATGACTCAATACTTGGAGAACAGAATTCATATAGCAAGTATTTCCCAAATTTCTCAATCCTGTTACACCAGGAGTTACTGTTGGCCTTTGTTTAACAGAGGAGTCACCAGCCTCTTTCAATCTTACATCTTCTGAGGTAGACATTACTTTCTCTTTTGCTGGCAACACTGAGGCTTGCAGTGGTGCAGGAACTGTTTCTACTGTGGTGGACTGAGCTAGACCTTGCAAACGTGAATTCTTTCTGGGAGGCATACTTTCTAATTCTGCTTTAGCTTGATGTTCCAATAGTTCTTGTTGTCTTTTCTTCACCTCTCTTTTTGCTAACTTCTCCTGAAATTGTTCTTGCCTTTTTCTTCCAATGGGTGACTGCTCAAACCAAGTTCGAAAGATTTTACCCATGAGTATCCTTCTCCTGTGCCAAAGAGCAGTATACATTTGGTCTTCATTTTGAAGCAGAGATTGGGTGCCATCATGTAAGAAATAGGAATCATCACTTGTATCCATAGACCGTAAAACCCTTCCACTACGAGTGGTGCAGTGATAATTTTGACTTTTGATTGCACTTAATGTACTTCGTAGTAACTTTAGGTCTCCAGTTGCATTATCATTAAGAACATAATCATCACAAAGGTAACAAAAAACATACATCTCATTCACCTCCAATGCAACAGGATGACTGCTTTCTTGAAAGTGCCTGAGTGCATGTTCTTCAATATATCTTCCACACGCAACATGAGAACAGCTAAGGCAAGCCCAAATCGACTCAGTTGTATTGCAGTCCACACAATGCCATTTCTGCGGGTTGAGGATGGAATGGTCTTGAGCAAGCTGCAACTGCCCAATGTGTTGGCACTTATCCATTGTTAGCATTTATTTAGTCTAGCTGAGGAACACATAATCCAAACAACTCTGTTGACAACACGTGAAGCATCTGAAAACTAAGAACAATGTCAATTTTTAATAAAAGAAAAGCAAAAAGCCAATATTTTTCTTTTTACAAGGTATTTTTCCAGGAATTATTTTTCCAGGAATAATTTTGTTAATTTGCTCTCACTGGTCCTAATATCTGGGCTGCCGGTCATAATACCAAAGGCAATTCTCACTTTTCATTTACCTTAGACTTCACTAATCTCTCATCCGCCTTGCTCTGAAAGAACACACACATTACTTTCTCTGATGGTTCCCTTTCAAAAACACTGTTTTCAATTGTATGCTACCATCTACTGGTAAAGAATGGGTAGTGACCACTTTTCACGTTCCATTTACCAACTGTCATTCCTTTTTAAAAATTGGGACTGGCAAGATCTAAATACATCTTACTAATATCGACATTCCAAAAGTTCTAAGTGGCATTACTAGATGCAATCATAGTTACAAACATGGGGGCTAACGTAGAAGCGCTTACATCTGAATGTTACTTCTCCACATGCTGCTTTATATCTGACTTGAGCAAACATTTCAACCTCTCTAAGCTCCATCTGTGAAACAGGGAAAATCATACCGCCTTCACTGAATTGTTAAAGGGCTGAAATAACCAAATATCTGGCACATAGCAAATGTCCAGTAAATAATAAATATTTGACACACTATAGGGAATAAATCAATATTACACTCTATTTATTTAAATAATATTAAATATTCTAATTTTAAATACTATTTAAAATTTGGCTTTCCAGTTGTATACCCATAATGACCTTTATTTAATTCATGGCTCTGTAACATACTCTGATTTGACAGACTTGACAATTTGCCTTAAGGGAAAAGTATTCTCCCCTTCTGTCTTTTGTGTTTGACTAGACTCTCGGGAATGTGCAAGGATATATAAGCAAATGACAGGAAAAAAAGGAAAAATAAGAAATCAGTGTCAATATAATGATCTTTTACATTCTTGCATGCCTAAACATTATATGAAATTAGAGGCTTACTCCAAAAAACAAACCCACAATCCCAAAACCCCAACATAATAAAAGAAATCTGATTTTGAGCAAACTTGTTCCTTTATCAATTAAAGGAACACATCTGCTACCTGTACCTAAAAATAATAAAACAAAATCTAGTGAAAAAGTAGGACATCATGAAGTGTTTTCTTCACTGATTTAACATAAATTGAACACAAACTTTGGGCTGCAGGTGGGGATCTAGATACAGAACACTCAGAACATTGTGTGCAGCATGATCAACGCTTTGAATTTTTTAGGACAGCAATATGAATTTCAATGGTACTTGCAGATGCCATCTCCAGGTCCTAAGAAAACTGCAAAGGTAAAGCTGACTCTTGCTTTCTTTCCACCTCTTTGCTTGTAAAATGTCTTAGCAATTAGATACTCCTGCCTACCACAATTCCTTCACTTTTAGATACAGGGTATGTCAAGTATAGATTTAAAATTACCAACCCCAGACCTCACATGTGCACTCCTCTTCCCTCAAGATTTTCTGAGGTCCAAAATCCATTCAAATATAGTATTTTATTTGAGTAAGCAAACAACAATAGTTGCTAATGGCAAAAGTAAGACATCAGTGATTAATAACGCTCCATTATCCTAAATCCTTCCAGGTCCTGAGGTTAATAATTCTGAGATCATACTTGTCTCCAATCTCTCTCTGTCCCCACACACCAATCCATAAGTAAAAATATTTGGTTCTACTGTCAAAATATATCTAGAATCTGAGTACTTATTATCTCTACTGTTTCACCCTGAATCCTTACACAGTCAGCAAAAAAAAAAAAGATCTGGAGCTGACCATAGCTCAGATCATCAGCTCCTTACTGTAAAATTCAGGCTTAAATTGAAGAAAGGGAAAACCACTAGGCCATTCAGGCATGACCTAAATCAAACCACTTACAATTACACAGTGGAGGTGACAAATAGATTTAAGGGATTAGATCTGGTAGACAGACCTGAAGAAACTGTCTGAAGAATTATGGATGGAGATTTATAACATTGTATAGGAGGTGGTGATCAAAACCATGCCCAAGAAAAATATGCAAGAAGGCAAAGTAGTTCTTGAGGAGGCTATTCAAATGGCTGAGGAAGGAAGAAAAGTGAAAGGCAAGGGAAAAAGGGAAAGATATACCCAAATGAATGCAGAGTTCCAGAGAAGAGCAAGGAGAGAAGAAAGCCTTCTTAAATGAACAATGTGAAGAAATAGAGGGGAACAACAGAATGGAAAAGACTAGAGATTTCTTTACAAAAACTGGAGATACCAAGGGAACATTTCATGCAAGGATGGGCATGATAAACGACAGAAACCGTTAAGGACCTGACTGAAGCAGAAAAGATTAAGAAGAGATGGCAAGAATACACAGAAGAACTATACAAAACAGGTCTTAATGACCTGGAAAACCACAATGGTGTGGTCATTCACCTAGAGCCAGACATCGTGGAATGTGAGGTCAAGTGGGCCTTAGAGAGCATTACTATGAACAAAGCTAGTGGAAGTGATGGAATTCTATCTGAGTTATTTAAACTCCTAAAAGATGATGCTATTAAAGTGCTGCACTCAATATATCAGGAAATTTGGAAAACTCAGCAGTGGCCACAGGACTGAAAAAGGTCAGTTTTCATTTCAATTCCAAAGAAGGGCAAGGCCAAACAATGTTCAAATTACCATATGATTGCTTTCATTTCACATGCTGGCAAGGTAATGCTCAAAATCCTTCAAGCCAAGCTTCAGCAGTATGTGAACTGAGAAATTCCGGATGTACCAGCTAGGTTTTAAAGAGATAGAGGAACCAGAGATCAAACTGCCAACATTCATGGGATCATGGAGAAAGCAAGAAAGTTCCAGAAAAACATCTACTTCTGCTTCATTGACTATGCTAAAGCTTCTGACTGTGGATCATAACAAATTGTGGGAAATTCTTAAAGAGATGGGACTACCAGACAACCTTACCTGTCTTCAAAGAAACTTGTATGTGGGTCAATAAGCATCAGTTAGAATCAGACATGGAACAAGTAACTGGTTCAAAACTGAGGAAGGAGGATGACCAAGCTGCATGCTGTCACCCATTAAACTCACGTGCAGAGGACAACAAGAGAGATGCCAGGCTGGGTGAGCCACAGGCCGGAATCAAGATGGCCGGGAGAAACGTCAACAGCTTCCAACACGCAGATGACACCACTCTAACAGCAGAAAGTGAAACGGAACTAGCTTCCTGATGAAGGTAAAGAGGAGAGTGAAAAAGCTGGCTTAAAACTCAACATGCAAAAAACTAGGATCATGGCATCCAGTTCCAATACTTCAAGGTAAATCAAAGGGGAAATCAAAGTGGGAACAGTGACAGATTTTAGTTTTTTGGGCTCTGAAATCACTATGGACAGTGACTGCAGCCATGAAATTAAAAGATGCTTGCTCCTTGGAAGGAAAGCTATGACAAACCTAGACAGCGTATTAAAAAGCAGAGACATCACTTTGCCAACAAAGTCCATATAGTCAAAGCTATGGTTTTTCCAGTAGTCATGTATGCATATGAGAGTTGGACCATAAAGAAGGCTGAGTGCTGAAGAAGTGATGCTTTTGAACTGCTGTGCTGGAGAAGACTCTTGAGAGTCCTCTGGACTGCAAGGAGATCAACCAGTCAATCAGAAAGGAAATAAATCCTGAATATTCATTGGAAGAAATGATGCTGAAGCTCCAATACTTTGGCCACCTGGTGCAAAGAGCCCCTGATGCTGGGAAAGATGGAAGGCAAAGGAGAATGGGGCAGCAGAAGACGAGATGGCTGGATAGCATCACTGACTCAATGGACAGGAATCTGAGCAAATGCCAGGAGACAGTGGAGGACAGAAGAGTCTGGCATGCTGTAGTCCACGGGGTCTCAAACAGTTAGACACAACTTAGGGACTGAACACCACCGCCACCACCACTACCCTGGACAAAGCAAAGTCAAGCGGATTACTGCAGTTAGGCTCCGAGTGGTCTCCCACTTTTGATACTTGCTGCCACTGAAAGTTTACTCTCCACAGAGCAGCAGCACACTTTATCTTAAGACTCAAACAGTGGGGGCCCAGACCTGACACTTTAGGGGGCTCTCCTGTTCCTCATTATGTGCAGTAGCAGAGTAAAGGGGACGTGGCCACCTGGAACAAGAAAACATTCCAAACTTCCCTTTTAACTGCTACTTGGGACCTGGAGAATTCGCTGCCTGAATCATTCCCAAAGCCTGCTTCCATGGTCTACAAGGGGCAATAAGAAGCCACTCTAGAATTCTATAAAGGAGAATGACACCATCAGATATGTAGGTACAGAGGGATCTGAATGGCAGATCTAGAGGAAGGATGAGTATGATTAAAGGAGGCTTCTGTTCCAGATATTACAAGGAAATTAAAGATGTAGCACTGTTGAAGCCAAGATAGAAGCAGAGGCAGATCAGTGCAGACCAAACATTGGTTCAAAGAACTGACTCAATATGGGGGTCAAGAGAAGAACCTAGGGTTATTTTTTATTTGAAAGGGATCACAAAAAGAAAACAGAGAAAATTTTGTTAAACACATTTATGGCAAGTCACAGACAATAATTATCAGTTCAACTTCTTGCAGAGATGAAGTGGGAAATGCTGTTTACACTCAAGGAAAATTATTTCATTCTTACTCTATTATTTTATATATTTATTTTTTATTTTGCCACACATGCAGCATATAGGATCTTAACTCCCTGACCAGGGACTGAACCCACATCCCCTGCATTGGAAGTGTGGAGTCTTAACCACTGGACAACCAGGGAAGTCCCTCATTCTGAAATTTTAAAGAGGTAGTATGAGTTGACATCTTGCAGAACATTCAGAAAATAAGGCTCAAAAGAAAAAAAAAAGGCCTAGAGAAGAAAATATATGTATATATACACACATATATTCATCCATTCACTTTTGGGTTATCTCAGGATCAGACTTAAATTATTTTATTAATCCATAGTTTAAATTTCTCAAAATAACGAATGTGTTACTTTAGTATAAGTTTTAAGTAGGAAAGATAGCGCTAAATTATAAACTAGTCTCTTTACTTCCTTCTCCACTATATCTTGCAAATACATTCTCTTAGTTACAAGGAATTTGTCAATTTCATTACAGTTGTTACTAAAAAATCTATTTAGATGATGGCAAGGCCCCGACCTTCAACAGGAAGTGGCCGATAATCAAACAGCATGATTGCATTTGATGCAAAATTGTCAAAATGGTGAAATGTTGATCAGATGCCACTTCTCTGACAGGCCATATAGCAGGGAAGGTCTCACAGCAAAACAGAGAGCCCTAAGAAATCCAAATGCCTGAGTCTAACACAAGCATTTATGTTCCACATACCTGTTTTCTTATCTGTAAAATAACAGTGGTAATAACAACAGGTTGATGAGGGAATTAGGAAAATTTATATTTGTAAAGCACTTACAACAATTCTTAGCTGCTAATAATTTGGCTCTTAGTACATCTTACCTTCCAATAATAATAACATTACTACTACTACTATTATTATAAATGCTAGCTTCCCACTAGTTTTATCACTTTTAGCCAGGGTTCTTCTCAGGCAAATGTGTACTAAGGTGAATTTAGGTGCTAACTGACAATTGAGATGTTAGCTGAGGACTGAGGTCTGACCTCTCCCAGGAGTATTTGCATTTTAAAAGGGGATCTTTCAGAAAAAATCTTTTGAAAAATCCAAAGAAGTGAAATCAGAATAGTGGAATGACAGACAACGAGATCAATATTTTAGAGTAGGGGGCCCATTCACCCAGTCTATTTATAAAAGAAACCAGTAGGGGGTGGACAACCAAGGCAAGGGCAGGGAAGAAACCAGGATCTAGAGAGCCAGGCTGCAGCCTCCAGGGATCTCCAGTTTGCTTTGCTGCTGGGAGCCACAGCTCAGAGATAGTTACTAGGGTATCCCCAGAAGAGCCTCATCACACAAAGATCTAAAAGCCAGGAAGAGAAGAAAGGGGGATGGGAGTATTTCTTGACACTTATCTTCTCCTGGGTTCAGAGCACTTCTTTTCATTTGCTAATCCACTGCTGAGAGGCTGTGTGTTAACTCTGGCTCCAGCACATAGCACAAGTAATTTTTGGCAGTATATTCATTTCACAAAGAATTAACAAAACATTTTTGCATTCCCCATACAGATTATGGTAAAATATTACCTGTACCTATATATAATAGCAACATACAAATAGTCAAGATGTTCTGAATGAAATCTGTATATAAAGATTAAAACTATCTATATCATTTTCTCCTACATTTTTTTAAAAGTTTCACACTTGAAATTCCAAATAACAG